GTGTGTGTGTGTGTGTGTGTGTGTGTGTGTGTGTGTGTGTGTGTGTGTGTGTGTGAGAGAGAGAGAGAGAGAGAGAGAGAGAGAGAGAGAGAGGCTTTGGACGTACTCTGGACTTGGTTTGGAACGGTTTATATTAGGCTTCGACGCAGTTCAGACGTGGTGCATCTGATTTAGGTCACGTTCATAAGGTTTGAACGAGGTTTGAATCTGGTTCGGTCTTTGTGATCAGGCCTGAACGCTGTCCCTCGAGACCCGCCTAACACAGCAAGAGTGCTATTAGACATGAGCGAGCTGTTCGTTTTCTTTTCATTGCATGACTGTACATTTTGTTTTTGTTTGTTTTACCTTAAAAGACTCTAGTAAGGAGAACTAGGAGATGGTGATAAAGGAGGGGGGGGGCGTTGCACATGCTCTGACGACTTGGGTGCCCCGTGCAACTCTCTCCCCCTGCCCCCGTCCCTTCCCTCTTTCACTCTCCAATGTAACGTGTACACAACATGGGCCACGTTCATGATTAAACGGAATCAAGCATCAACAAACATTGTCAGGCAAAGAACTTTCAAAACAGAAGGAAATAAGTGGATTAACGAGCACGCCGAGGCTCGAGCAGCGATTTGCCCCATTTGTGATAACCCCAACGCGTTTTCTCATCACTACCCACAAAACCAGAAAAAGTGAGACAGTGCATATTTCCACATAAGATGGCAAGATACAAGTGTTGCTATCAATAGTAACGAATGTACCTGTGGGAAGATGCACTCACATTTTTCTCATTTCGTGAATGGTGTGGTGCGGGCAGTGTACTCGCACTTTTCTCATTTCGTGAGTCACCGTGGTGTGGCGATGGCCAATGGCCTTTCTCCGACTGTTGAGGTGCAAAGTCGTTCGGATGAGGGCGGGAGAGGCAGGTTGCCAGGTCCAAAGCAGGTCCAAAGCAGAACCAAAGCAGGGCCAGATCAGGTCCAAACCAGACAAAGCAGGTCGTACTCTGCGAGGATGCAACCGCTCCAGAAAGAATGTGCTAAGAAATGACTCTCATTGACTGAGCACCCGTATTTACCAAGACACCAGGGGTAATAGATTTTCCGAAGAGAATAATGCATTATAATGGTGTTCCCCAGTCCGAGTCTGCCTTTTCTTCCATGCAAACTTTTCTGGTGGAAAAGAGGCCGGTCCAATGGGTCCATGGCCAACACCTTCATATGGACATCCATCATCTGGCCTCTACTAAGATATTAGGCCAACTCCTAGTATCCGTTACCAGAACGTACCAGAATGTACCAGAACGTACTAGAATGTACCAGAACGTACCAGAACGTACCAGAACGTACCAGAAAGACAGTGAAACGTGAGTCCAGACAGTGTAGGATGAGATTTGACAGTAGAGAACCAGGTTTCAAATTGGCAGTTGTGCATCAAGTTTCACACACAACCAACCAGACTGAGTACCGAGCCAGGGTTATGGGAAACAAACAGTTGTGGATGAGGTTTTGCACGCAACCAACCAGATTCAGTACTCAGTCTAGGACATGGGAAACAAACAGCTGTGGATGAGGTTTCACACACAACCAACCAGACTCAGTACTCAGTCTGGGGCGTGGGAAACAAACAGTTGTGGATGAGGTTTCACAGACAACCAACCAGACCCAGTCTAGACATTAGAAACAAAGGTTGAAGACAAACCAGACCGAGAAAGTCAAAAAACAAGGTTTCGAGAAATAGGAAACCAAATTTGGAGAAAACCAAACAAGGATCCTGAAACAGTCCAAGAATTGGACCTCCAACACAAACAAATTTGGAAAAGATGGTTCTTTCAACAAATGAATGCGACATATTCCCTGGTCAACAAAGCCAACATCAGGGGAGATGAAGGGCCCTGCTCAGGAAAACCAACAACATTAGGGGGTGGGAAAGGGTGTTGGGGGGCCAATGGGGGCCCCACAACTGAACGTCAAGTTTGTCAACACAGCTTCCTACGCTCATAAAAATTAAACATGGACACAATTGAGAGGCTCTTAACAACTGAACATAAACACGACTTCCTTGGCTCGTTACAACTTCCTAAGCTCGATGACAAAAGTGTTTCGTTTCAGTTACGGGTGGGGGGAGGTTGGGCCGGTAGGGAGGGGGCATAGCTGTCCTCCTCCCCCACAACTTCACATTGCAGACACAGACAATGCTTACAGAAGTGTTTTGTTTCAGTCAGGGGTGGGGGGAGGTTGGGGCGACAGGGAGGGGTCGTAACTGTCCTCCTCCACCACAACTTCACATCACAGACTGCGGCAGAAACAGACAATGCTTAAACTGGTCACATGAAGTCCCGCAGTGCACCACCACAAACAAGGAGGAACACAATTCCACGTGAAAAAAAAATCGAACTTTGTGATGCCCGGATTCAAACTCTGGTCTCCTAACACACAAACAAACACATTTATGGCTCTTGCTCGAATTCGAACCTGGGTCTGCTCAACAATTTGTGCAAACCATGTGTTGCCTCACCCTCCAGAAGGCACACGTTCAACATACTCACACTAGCACTTTCGTTAATGTACCTGACCGCAGTTATGGCCAGATTCGATGTATCTGACAACAATCAGCTACAAAAATTGGTAGAAAACATCCTGGTGCGAGTTTGGCCTGAGCCTCATCCACAGCTGGACATTGAAGATGGATTCCAACTCAGCTGAAAGGGTTTCACTGTTTCACACATACAGTTGAGTCTCAGGTCTGGTCCCAGAAGTCCCAAGGTCATGTGTCTCATAATACCCCATATATTGTCGTCCAAACACCAGGGTGTGAAGCCAATTTACCCAAATGTCACTGAAGGGTTCGGTAGGTCGGTGGCAGTCCCCACTGTGTCAAAGTAAAGCCCCTGACAAAAGGTCTGTCCCAAAACTAGCAGCAACACCCAAGGAAAGTCCAGAGGCATCCGGAACCGTAACCCGGCCAGAACCCAAGATTGTCAATTGCAGCAAATTGCCAGCAAGAGTTTTTATGGAAGACAGGACAGCATAGAACCAAGAGAAGAGTGACTTCCTGTTTTCTACCTTTCAAAATCATGTCTCTTCCCACACTTTCCTATACTACCTTACCACAGTTACAACCAGACTCGATAAATCTGATTGCAATCATCTGCAGAAATTGACAGAAAAGGTCCTGTTATGGGTTTGCCCTGAATTTCAGCAAAGCTGACATGCAGAAATTGGCAGACAAAGTCTTGGTATGAGAATTCCTTGAGCTGCAGCAAAGCTGACAAGGGGTACCCCCCCTCCCCCACACCTTTGCACAAATTCTCTGCGCTGTGCATTAAAGCGGTGCTTGCATCTTAGACCTCGTTCTATCTCCTGAAATATATCAAAAAAATATCGTTTCCAGGTCCACAAAACGAGGAGGTTACTGTTTCGCTTCCTGCTACTGTAATGTTCATGCCCTTTCATAAACACACACACTAAATAGAAAGTGCACAAGACAAAGAGCAAGGTAGACTCAAGGTGTACTTCTATGGTTGTCATCTGTGAGTGCGAAAAATCAGGCACTGTATAAAAACAGAAACAACACTTGGCTCCACGCATACGTATACATTGGTTCATTGTATACATTGTTTAGTTGTGTACATTGCTTGGTTGTATACGTTGCTTCCTGCTGTCCTGAGATTGCATGCGAAAAATGCTTTCATGTTCTCAATTCTGCTACCACAACTTCCGTGCCGTGGACTTGCACGGCGATCTTGCTCTGTTTCTTCGAATACATGGAAAAAGTATTGTTTCCACAACTTTCCAGGTTCCCAGAATGACCAGCTTGATCAGCCTTGATGTTCACGGCTTCTTCTCTTCAGGCTCGTAGATACGGAATGAAAATCAAGCAAGGGCTACATCTATGCTCCTCATTTCCGAGTGCAGACAATCAGGCAATTGGATGGAAACACAAACAGGCATTGCCAAATTTCTGCACAGATTCCTGCCAATGTGTTACATGTCAGTGTGCCACTGCGACTGCCCTGCCACAAACTTGCATTGGCGTACTGCTCACTCTCTTCAAATGTATAGAAAAAGTTCAGTTTCGTTTACGGGTCCACGAAATGAGGTGGTCGTGGTCCCAAAAATGCATCCTAGATTGACAAAACAACAAGTTGAACTGCTCCTGTCAGTCCCACACTCTCACAGGCAACAAAATTGGATCACCTCCACGTCGGCTCCTGTCCCTCAAGTCGTCTATGCTTAGAACATATCGCAGAATGTCGTGCGATGCGGCTCCCTCCAGGCTGCGCCTCCAGGATTTCGCAGTGTATCAGCTCTGTGCATTCACATAAGCAAACCAAGCCTAGGTGACTGAACGGACTGCCAAGCGGGAGCCAGGAAGAAGCCCACGAGGGAGAGTGAAGCAGGGCAAGCACAGCAAAGGGGATGAGTAACATTGGGCCTCACCGCACGGTACACCACCAAAATGAAACAAGTTGCAGACAATTGAATGATTTATTGGTTTACTATTAATAGTACTGAATGTCCTTTGCCCCCCTCTGTGGCCGGATGCACTGGTTGTGCTGTGGAATATCAGGGCTGAGGCTGAGGAGCACTTGCAACATTTGTGAAATTGTCGGCTGGGTCCCCTGTGGGTGCGGGTGCTGCAGAAGTACCCGGGATCTGCTGCTGCTGCTGCTGCTGCTGCTGCTGCCGCTTCTTCCAGTAGAAGTATCCAGCACCGACAGCGGCCAGGAGAACAACGAGAGGAACCAGCACAGCAGGGAGAATAACGCCGATTTTGGCAGAGCCATCCCCACCACCCGAACCTCCAGGTGGTTCACCTGGAGGCGGTACGTTGTAGAGTCCTCCTGGGGTTTGCCCAGGAGCTGGTGGGGGCGGTGCCTTTGACTCGTAGACGAAGAATCGGCCCGAGATCGAATTAGCGAGCGCAGTTGCTGTCTTCATTACAGAGCTGTAGCGGTTGTCTTCGAGGAGCACAGTGGACGAAGGATCATCTTCCATGACCAATCGGATCAGATAAACCTTGCCCTTTTTCGGCGAATTTAGGCCGGAAAACTGCACCATGCCTTCTACGGGTCGGCCTGTATTGCCATCTTGTGCGTAGGCATCACCGGTGGGAGACGAAGCAGGTGCGATGGAGGGCAGCGGCACGAAGACGCTTGCGTTGAGAACAACAATGGAGACCCAGACCTCCCCGTCTCCCTCTTTGAGCTGCGATGATACTGCGAACCGATCGATGGCCGACAGGAAAGGAGTCAGCATGGTCCTGGAGCGCGCGAGCTTCTGCACGCTGACCGTAAACGTCCGGTACTGTCGCCGGGCGCTGGCGTTCACGGCCATGCTCCAGGCAAGCGTGCGGGACACGGGCAGCGGCAGGCGTGACGCGCTGGCCTTAATTGAGTCGATCCCTGCTGAAGTTCCATTGACACACCCCTTGTTTGCATTTTCCAAAAGCAGGTCGACGGAGGTAAAGAACGGGTCTAGGGGCTGCCCAGTCAACCGAAGACCACTCTGGGCCATTGGACGGATCTTTCGCCCGAGAGCTTCCACTGCTTGTGCCATCATTTCCTGCGTGACTTCTCCAGGGTGAGCCAGGAGAAAGGAAAGGGCCGTGGCGAGGTTGACGCCCAGCTGAGGGCCCATGGTTCCCACGGAGCCCGCGTCTGACGTTTCCGAAGGCGGGGCGTTCAGGGAGTCGAGCTTCGCTAGGGTGTCGACCACAACGGCCTTCATCTCTGTGAGCTTGGCGTTCGGCACGCCGCAGTCGTTGGGGCCCGTGGGCGCTCCTCCGTACTCCCTTGCCCATACCATGGCCCAAGATAGCATGTTGACATAGTCTCCTGTGCGGTTAAGCTCGGTGAAGATGCTATCGAAACTGATCTGAGCCTCCGTCACGTTCCTGAACCTGGTGCCGCCAGTTGGCGAAGATCCGGCTTGCAGTAGTGTACGCCTTCGTCCTTCGCTGGTGCCCTTGTGATGGAGGCGGTCTTCGGTATCCTCAAGAAATCGCGCATATGGACGCCGCGTAGAGGAGTTATCCGCCACAGCTATGGCGGCCGAGGGAGCAGCTGCTTGCAAGTCATCGTACCCCGTGGCGACGACGGTGTTCTCGGTCCTGTAGGACACCTGGGACGAGGACGACAGCGATGGCGGAAGCAACTTCGCGGGCAGATGGGACTGGTAGTTGAGCCACTTGCTGGCCGTCTTGATGCGCGACAGAGAGTTATTGTTGGCATTGTTGGCAGCAAGGACGTCTTTGGGGTCCAGTCCGGAGTTGCGGAGTGAGACCACCTTGACAGGAGGCTCGATGATGAACCGAGAACCAGGTGACCCGTCCCCTGGACTGAACATGGTTCTGATCGGATTGGTCACGTACACGACGAAGTAGTAGATGCCTTCAGGGAGCACGATGTGCGACTTAGAATTCTCAGGCGACATAGGTTTTACCGTCGTTTCGCGGCCCGAGATGGCGTCTGCATACCGGAACTCGTAGTGCATATGTCCCTCGCCCTCTCCCACCGTCCACCCGAACGCTTTGATGCGATAAAGCGTGAGCATCGCCACGTCCGCCTTGGGTGCACTGGACCCCATTCTCTCGTACATCGCCGTTCCCCCTGACGGCAGGGGCGATACCCAAACCGTGGTAGAGGCCGTGCCTTTGGTCAGCGACGTCGTATGAGAACCTACTGCTGCCGTGCAAGATATCGTGTACAGCTGCCCGCCCAGCAGCTGGTTGGGCATGATCTCGATAGCCGGGTCAACGTCCCGGCCCGCCGTTCTCAGTTTCGACAAAGGCCGCTCGTCCGCATCCGAGGTCAGCTTCCACTGATAGGCTATGGACAGGGAAGCAGAGAGACCCTGCTGCTGGCCTCCCACGGACAAGGTGGTATTGGGTGGAGCGGCAGAGCACCTGAAGCTTATGGACTGCGTTGGGAGAAGGGCCACCGATAGCAGATCCTGTCCCGCTGTGATGGAAACATCCAGCACGGCTGTCACTTCGGTCAGTTCTACGTTCCCCACAGTCATTGCCGTCTGGTTCGCCACGAACACCGGCCCCTCCACAAAGCTTCCATCTATCATCAGCCCTTTCTCGTCGTCCTGCACGATGCCCAGAGCTGCCCCGCCGGATCGGCTCTGCGTGCCGTTCTTTGCGCCGCTGTCACTGGCCGGGATTGCCACCAATATCACAGATGCTGGCTGTAGCCTCCGCCCTCTCGTCAGCGGCTCCTTGGTAACCATCACTGTGACCCGGTGAACAGTGCCGGGAGCCAGAGCGTTAGGAGGGAGGAGGAGTATCTGCCCATAGTTGTTCTTCTCGTTGCTCTCGTACAGAGCGTAGTTGGCGTCGTCAGCGAGAGTGGTATTGACTGTCCAGCTGTACTGGAGGGGGAAGGGTGCTCCAAGAATGTCCCGAGTATCATCCGGATCGCTTGCCAGTGCCTTGATGACTATGGGATCCCGGGCGTCCACGACCCTGATCTCTCCGCCGTCGATGGCGACGCTTAGCGGCGATGCATTCATGACTATGCTTGCCGAGCTGCGGCCGCTGTCCCCCTCCGGGTCCAGACTATCTTCCACCCAACACCGCACTCCTATTACGTAAGTCACGGAGGGCATTAGCCTCATTGCAGGCAGGTTGAACATACGACCGCCCGTCTCCAACCCAGTCAGGTTGACGGAGGGCCCGTCCTCCACAAACCATCGGTACACCAGGGACTTCATCGCCTCCGCCGCTGGGAGGCATTCCCCTTTCGCGTTCACGGCGAACGGGCCCGGCAGCTCTGCACGCGCCTCCAACGAAATCATTTCGTACCTGTAGAACGTTCTCCCTGCTGTGGTGAACAGACCGAAAATGGAAACTTTAGGCGTCGGTCGTGCCTCCTTCTTCACCATCACGGACATGGAGTTGCTCTGCCCAATGAAGTTGGTCGCCCGCACCGTGAAGTTGTACACTTTCCCCGGCTCCAGCCAATCTCTGGCAACGGTGACAGTGGAGCTGAAGGGATCGGCGTTCGCGAGATGCCGTGTCAAGACGTTCATCCGCGGCCCGGTCCCCTGTACGTAGAACACGAACCTCATGGGCCGACCGCCCGAGCCCGTCGACGCTGACGCGTCCAGCGTGAGCGGGTCACACAGCCCGACGCTCGGCGGGACGTCAAGTGTCACCACGGGCTGCATCCGGCTAACGGGCTGCAGGACCGGAACCGAGCCAGAAGCGTTGTACGAGCTCATGTCCTGCGAGGAGATCTTGTCTGGCAAAATGGTAATCACATCGGGCGTTCGCGTGTCCACCGGCAATATCGTGGCACCGCTGCCAAGAACTATGCGCAGCCGACGGCTCGTGCGGAACGTGCACGATGGCTTCGTCCCCAGCTTCCGCACCACCTCGTCCGCAAAAATATCGCGACAGACAGCCTCGAACACCCCCGCGGCTTCGACGTCGTCGTTGTTGACACCGAAAATAATGCCTCCCGTTGCAGGCTCCGAGCCTCTGTGGTTGATGACGTGAGCATTTGTCGGTACGTCGAAGTCGATGACGATGTTCGACAGGCTGTCCGCGAACCTGGCGTACAACATTCGAGGCGGCATCTTCGGCAGCACGGGTACCTTGAACGTACCGACCTCGGTGTCACCATACGCGATGACAACGGAGTGGGCACCGTACGATCTGGGAATGTACATTACCCTGGCCTTGAGCGGAGTGTTGGGATCGACGTAGAAAACCTCTGATCCTGTTGACAGCGCTGGCTGAGGAGAACCGCCGCTGGCCCCGTTGGTGGGATCCTGAGCCTGGAGGCATGTTCGACTGTCGTCCAAACATAGGAGTTCCATGGAGAGAGCTGAGGGCCTGGGGAAGATACCTACGCGAGGTAAGCTCGAGTTCACATTGCCGGCCACATCACGTGCGACAATCTCGATGACTGACACTTGGCCGGCCATCCCGCCGACCACGCCGCTGCCGAACACAGTGGTGTCTTTCATGGACACGCGCCCGGGAATGACTTTCATCGGAAACGAGATGACATTGACGGTTGCTGAGGTACCGCTGCTTGCAGCCCCTCCTGTGAACGTCCCATTTGCTTCCCTCACCTCCACACGGTACGTTCCTGCTGGTCCCACCTTTAGTCCCGCCATGAACATGGAGCGACTAGCTGTCGCCGTCACCCTGCCAGACACGGACTCCGCAGTCGTCTTCGAGTTGAGGGCGACAACGCTGAACGACCGGTCGCCCGCTAAGTACGGGTTCTTGTATTGGTCGTATGCGTACAGCTCCATCTGCTGTTGAACGCTCGCCCCCACGCTCGAGAAGCTCTGAGCCTCCGGTCTCATCTCCGTACCTAAGAAGCTGAACGACGCGTGCGTGACGAGAATGGGAACCGGGAGCCCAACTTGCTTGTCCCTGAGCATGACGGTGGCGCTGTACTTCCCCGCTGCCAGAGCGTACACCGCGATGTCGTGCGTGCCGTCGTTGTTGTCTTCTGCTATGAACTCGGTGGGCGACTTGGCTTGCGCCGCTGTGAGCGGCGGCGCTGCAGTATCCGACCAGGCCATCGTGGCGCGAAACGGATCTCCGCCGGCCAGATGGCTGTATCGGACGCGGTTGCCGGCAGCGTCCCTTGCCGTCACTGTGATCACTACCCTCACTCCTGCGCGAACTGCGTCTCCTTGGAGCTGACTCTCCACCATTGACCTCTCCGCGCTGGTCGGCCCTGCGCGCACATCCACGTAAAATCTCCCGTTCTGTATCGTCTCTGCGTCACCAAGCGGATCGATCATCACAGTGAAACGCTGGCTCCTGGATGTTGCCGGAAGTGAAACCTTGTACAGTCCACCCGGCTGAAGCTCTGCGGTGACCTCGCTGGTCTTGCCGCCGTCCGCCCATCCGGGCACAATGACCGTGAAGCCGATTTCAACAATGCCGTTTGCCTTGACAATGGGCAGGCTCTCAAGATCCCTTGGTTCGATGAAAAACACAAGCGGCACACCGACTGCCATTCCATCCAAACCTCCCTTGATCTCTATTCCCAACACGTCCATCGCCACTGTCTTGAACGGTGACCAGTTGCCCGGCCCTCCGCGTATCATCACCCTGCTCGTCCCGTTCTGCACCACTATGCCGTCGTATGCCACGGTGATTGTCAACCCGGTCGTCTCCTGCATTGGCGTGTACGTCACCTTGATGGAACCTGCATCGTTTGTGGCGAGAGAGGGCGGCTGTGAGCTGATTGTCGGTGGTGTCGGAACGACCTCTTTGTCAGAGAAGGTGACGCTGAAAGCTCGCACCACGTCAGCGGTCGGCGGGACGGGGTTGCCCGATCTGTCGCGAGGGAAGATGAAGAAGACTGCTGTGGAGGATATCACTGCTCCGACGTCGAAACCCAGCCCTTTGGCTATGGTCCTCTCCGGAGACACGACTCCTGGCAGCACTGCTACCACGTGCGGCAAGCCGGTGGTCGAGTTGAGAACCACTCCGTCGAAAGAACCGAGAGACAGTGAGATACGGAGGATACCCGCAGCGAAGGGAGTAAAGCTGACGTTGTAGAATCCCTCTTCCGCCACAAAAACCATCGCTCTGTCCAAGGACCATGCCATGCCAGTAGAGGAGGAGACAGAAGTCAGAAGCAACGTGGGGTAGAATAAACTGTCGTCCCTTAGCAGATTTTGGAACCGGTCACGGACATAAATCCTAAACGCGGCGGGCATGGCCGACACATAGGCTTCGTTGCCGTAATCCAGCACCGTCGACCGACCATCTGGAGCCGCAGCCTCGACCACACCGATCCCCTCAAAGAAGGGGATCGTGCTACTGTTACCCAAGGGGATCGTGCTACTCCTAGCCAAGAGGGCACGGACAACGTAGTCCCCAGCCCTAGTTAAGTTGTACGTGAACGTGTACGTTCCATCTTTGCCATCGACGCTTGCAAGCACGCCTGGGCCCTCACCGGTCAAGTTGTGCCGCAAGCTCACCTCGAACGCCAAACCACCGGTGACGAGATTGTTGCCATACAAATCCCGCGCCGTTACCATTAGTTTTCCCGATTCGCCGGCAACTCCCTTGCCCATTAGTATATCGCCCGTGACCTCGCACTGTGCGGCATCCACGGGACCGGGGAGAACCTGCAGTGCACGAGACGTCACTATCAGATTGCGCATGTAAACGGTGACCACCGTGGCCGCCCTTCCGGCTCTTGCACACTTGTACAAGAACATGTAAGTCCCATTCCCCAGATCCGTCATCTTCCCTGAGGTGGAGGCGGAAATGGTGGTGGCCGAGATATCCATGGTGAAGACATCCCCTCCTCGCCCTGTCGGATTGCCATAAGCATCCTTCGCATTCAATGCGAAAGAGCGGACGTCCCCCGCCGTACATGGCCGCAGCGATTCCTTGCTCAACTCCGTTGTCGCTACACTTGCGCGTCCTGGACGAACGCTCACCGTAAACGGAGAGCCCCGGATAGGGGAGTTCCGAACAACATGCAGCTGGTACGTGCCCACCTTTTGCGGGGCGTAGAACACCTCGTACCTGCCCTTGGTGGGATTCCAGCGAGGGAAGGAGTTGTTGGGTCTTAAGTAAACTGGGGGTTTTACCTCCTCTGTCATCAGCACCACGTCAAAGGTGCTTCCCCCTCTATTCAGTGTGTTGCCCTTTGCGTCTTTTGCTTCGATCTCGAACAAACTATCCGTTCCCGCGATGATGGGCCCTTGATCCCCTACGCCAGGGCCGTATGCAATGCACGATGGTGTGTCCAACGGTCCTCCATCAATGTCCACATTAGAGAACCGCAGCGTCGTCTGACCGATTTCCAAGTCCAGCGTGTAGATCCCGCTCTTGGCTACGACGTATGTGCAGAAATGCGCCTGGTTCACCCGGTCGATCTCGCAGTTTGCCGGAATGGCCTCCTCCCCGAGCTCTAGCTTCGCTCCAATCGGATAGTCGGAGAGGTCTACCCCCCCTGCGGACGAAATGGAATTGTTCCCGACGTCAAACAGCATCACCCAGAACTTGCCTTCAACTCCGGCCTGTCCCGCATATGCTCCATCGCCCTTCAACCTCGTGAAAGGAACGTGCGGGGCGCCCACTTCTGGAAGAAGGAGAAAAAGCAGCCACAACAGAAACACGACACAAAACACACGACGTATGGCACCATAGACACGTAGAAATGAGTCGGATCGAGAATGAGCATCATGCCAGCCAGTTCAGCACCATAGCAGCAGCTTTGACTTTTCCTTGAATTCGTACTCTTGGTGTGATTGGTATAATATAAAGTACTTCCTTAACTACATAAAGACAAATCAGTTTGAAAAAGATCATTTCATATTCCTTAGTTAGTAGCTCACTGTGCTCACATGAATTCTATCTCTGTTGGCATATTTCGTCGGGCGGCCGTTAGGTGCGAGGGGAGTGTCAAAACACAGGCTTTACACTGTTTACAGGCACAGTGGGACGACAGAACAACTGTCACCAGTACTACACGTAACTACAGTCGTAGAAACAGAAGCTGGTGAACATAGAGCATACGCAAGTTTGACAATTATTACAGCCAGGCTCGCAAATTCAGCAGATTTGAGAGTTCCGAATGCTAAGGGGATTGGGCCACTAAGCTACATCCTTCCTTTTAGCCATTCACATAGAAAGCTGCTCCGTGATGGCCACTGATGCCAACACACGTCGTGATGCCCACTAATGCCAGGTAGTTCTTGTGTGAATTAATGATGCATGATGCAGAATCTCACACATCGTGATAACGGTAGATAAAACAAAGCAAAGACATAGTCACGGAAGACGGAGCAAGAGACACAGAGTAGGGTAAGTGGCCAGAAAAGGAAGGGTTGGGGTAGTCCAGGTCCTGGAAACTCAGAAGGCTGAGAAGGGTTAGGGATGGGCTGGACATTTTGGGACAGTAGGTGGACCGAGTGGTGATCGGTACTCACGGAAGTGACTCAGGCCTGAAAAAATCAGATGGGCCAAAGGGATCCAGCCTGACTGCTGCAGCGTGTCCAGGGTTAAGTGGACGCGGGGAGCCAAAAGAGGGTAAGTGGACATGTTCTGACAGACCCACCGGGATGGGGGTCCATCAGGATGAGGAAGAAGGGATGAGGGTGATGGGGATGGAGATGGAGCTGGAAGGGACAACACAGCTCCGACGCAGACTCAACACGCACGTACTCCAAATGTGCAGAATGAAGAATGAACTGAAAAGAGACAACAACTGGGCTATGTGTCCATTCAACGTGCAACGGAAAAGTTTCAACTCCGTTGTACCCGTTGAATAGCCCTCGGGCCCCAGTTGAATCCCCGTTGAATAGTACAACGGGCCCTCCTCGTTGAATACTGTTCAACGGGGAGGGCGCATCGGGCCTCGGACACGTCGCTGAGTGCGCGTGGAGCAAAAAAAAAAATCATCCTGTTGAATCCCGTTGAATCTCGTTGTATCCCGTTGAATTCGAGTTGAATTCGAATTGAATCCCGTCGTTTTTTTTTTTTTAAACCTCTAACCACGAAGTCCCACCTACCGTTGTTGAGTTCAGAAAACTCAACAGTGTGACGCCATTTCGACATTAATAAATGAGAGAGAGAGAGAGAGAGAGAGAGAGAGAGAGAGAGAGGGCGTCAACCAGTGTCCGATGCCGCCTGACACTGGCTGACGCCCTCTCTCTCAGACTCTCTCTCTCTCTCTCTCTCTCTCTCTCTCTCTCTCTCTCAACATTGAAATTAGAATGAATTTTCCGCGATCCCTCTCTCTCTCTCTCTCTCTCTCCCAGCGTTGAAATCAGAATGAATCTTCCGCGTTATCTTCCGCGATAACGCGGAAGATTCATTCTGATTTCAACGTTGGGGGAGAGAGAGAGAGAGAGAGAGGCCGTCAGCCAGTGTCTGACGCCGAGTTTGGTGCACCAAACTCGGAGTCAGACACTGGCTGATGCCATCTCTCTCTCTCTCTCTCTCTCTCTCTCTCTCTCTCTCTCTCTCTCTCTCTCTCTCTCTCTCTCACGAGAATGAATCTTCCTCTCGAGGAAGATTCATTCTCGTTGGGCATGTATGATTTCGGTTGTTTTTTTTTGCAGAAAGTGGTATGTTTTTTTTGTCTTTTTTTTTTCTTTTCTTAATCTACTATCGGTTTTCCGAGGCTCGGCAATAACGTTCGAGGCTCGGGAATGATCGGGCTCCGAGCCTCGGACTTGATAGCTGGGCGAGGCTGTGAAACCGTATAAGCGTGCGTAAGCGCGCGCGCGCGCTTAAAGTCCCCTGCGCCGCGCTCAAAGCGCTCTATGGCCCGCGCGCGCGTCAAAAAATCAGCGCAGGGGCGTCACGGGGTTGCGGGAGGGCAGGGGATGCCACGGGGACGTTTCCGCACAAAAAAAAAAAAAAAAAAAAAACATACCCTCCCCGACCGTTTTGGAGTCCAGTCCCCTCCGGAGTTCGCACTGCAGTCCAAACTCCTCGGTCGCCTGCCTGTCGTAAGGCAGAGTTTGTAACTGCAGTCTAGTCATTGACGTCCGACCGGCAGGCCGTTTCCAAAAAAAAACAGAAGAATAAAGAAAAAAAAAGAAAAGATCGTGGCGCTGTATCTTTCCATGTTCCAGGGGAAGATTCACTCTGTTTCCAGGATTGATTTGGAACTGTGGAGAAGGAGAGTGAATCTGCCTTAGAGCTTGGAAAGATACAGCGCCATGATTTCTGTCTTTTGTGCAACGGGGAAACAGGGACCACGGGCTGACAACAACGCAGTGGCCCTAAGGGGATACACGTGCTGGCAACATCCCACTTTCGTTTTCTTTTTCTTTTTTTTTCCTTTTGTTTTTCTTTCTAAGAGTTCTAAGGGAGGGGTACTCAGGGAGGCACAGCAACTGGCCACTCAGATGATGCTCGGTCCCTCTGCTACCAGCTGTCCCCTGGCCGGTGTCCCCGGGTAGGGGGTTCCCTGAAGGCTATCAGGCCACCCTAAGGCTCTCAGGCCACCCTGGGCTGAAAAGGCCACCCGGGGCAAGGTCCCACTTGCACGGATTAAGAGATTCTGGCCGTTTATCTTTTCTATCTACGGTCAATATCTCTTAATTCGTGTAAGTGGGACCTAGCCCCCTGTGCCAGATTAGACACATGATTGAATTTACCTGGGCTGGTTAGTCCGATGATAATACCTCAAGGCCATCACCCGATTAAAAAAAAATAATAAAAAAAATCCCAACCTATGGCGTGTCATCCTTGGGGTCTTCTGGCGGCGCATCTTTCCATGTTCTATGGGAAGATTCACTCTCGTTTTGCACATTTCCAGAGTAGTGGACCGCCTTCCCTCCACTGAATCTTCCCATAGAATCTTCCCATAGAACATGGAAAGATTTGGGGTATGTTTGGGGCATGGTGCGGTGGGATTTGTGGTGTGGTTTGCGGTGGGTTTGGGGGTCGGTTTGGCGTATGTGGGTTTTGTGGTGGGGTTGGGGGTGGGTTAGGGGTTGGTGGGG